CCCTTTGGACAAAGGGTTTGGACTCAAACCCTTTGGACAAAGGGTTTCATTTTCATTTACTTCCATATATTTTTTAATAACTTCCTGTTTGACCCATTCATTCTTCAGCAGGATGTTCTTCAACCACCATGTATTTGGGGGCTTTCCAAAATTTTTCTTGTGGTTGATTTCAAGTTTCATACCAGAGTGATCTGAAAATATGCCTGATATGATCTCAATCTTTTTATACTTGTTGAGGGCTATTTTGTGACCCATTATGTGATCTGTTTTGGAGAATGTTCCACGTGCACTCGAGAAGAATGTGTATTCTGCTGCTTTTGGATAAAAAGTTCTGAATATATCTCTTAAGTCCATCTTGTCCAATGTGTCATCCAGAGCCACTGTTTCATTAATTGATTTTCTGCCTAGATGATCTATCCATTGATGTAAGTGGAGTGTCAGGGTACTATCATCTATACATTTATTTATGTTTGTATTTAATTGATTTATATATTTGGGCACTTCACATTGGGGGCATAAACATTTATAATTGTTAGCTGTTTTTGATGGCTAGACCCTTTAACCATGATATAATTCTCTTCTTCATCTCTTATTACAGTATTTGTTTTAAAATCTAGTTTGTGTGATGTAAGTATGGCTACTCCAGCTTTCTTTTTATGTCCAGTAGCATGATAGATGGTTCTTCATCCCCTCACTTTCAATCTTCAGGTGTGCTTAGGTATAAAATGAGTCTTTTGTAGGCAGAATATAGATAGATCTTATTTTTTTATCCATTCTGATACCCTATGTCTTTTGATTGGGTAATTTAGTCCATTTACATTGAGAGTTATTATTGAAAGATGTGGATTTAGTGCCATTGTGTTATCTGTAGGTTTTGTGTTCGTGGCGATGTCTCTGGCCCTTTGTATTCTTTGCAGCATTCCACTCAGAGTCCCCCTTAGGATGTCCTGCAGGGCTGATTTAGTGGTCATGAACTCCTTTAGTTTTTGTTTGTCTGGGAAAGCCTTTATCTCTCCTTCTATCCTGAATGACAGCCTTGCTAGATAAAAGCTTCTTGGCTGCCTATTTTTCCTACTCAGCACATTGACTATTTCCTGCCACTCCCTTCTGGCCTGCCAAGTTTTGGTGGACAGGTCTGCTACTACCCCTATGTGTCTATCCTTGTTAGCTAAGGCCTGTTTGTCCCTCTCTGCTTTCAGAATTCTCTCTTTGTCTTTGTATTTTGCCAGTTTCACTATGATATGTCATGGTGTTGACCTGTTTTTGTTGATTTTGAAGCGAGTTCTCTGTGCCTCTTGGACTTGGATGCCTGTTTCCTTCCCGGAATAGGGAAGTTCTCAGCTATAACCTTCTGCCCCTTTCTCTTACTCTTCTTCTTCTGGAACTCCTATGATATGGATATTATTTCATTTCACGGAATTACTTAACTCTCTAATTCTCTCCTTGTGGTCTAGTAATTTCCTTTCCCTCTTTTTATCAGCTTCATTATTTTGCATAATTTTATCATCTATTTCACCTAGTCTCTCATCTGCTTCCTCCATCCTTGCTGTCACTGTATCTAGCTTATTTTGCATCTCGTTTATAGCATTTCATAATTCATCATGACTATGTCTTAGGTCTCTGATCTCTGCTGAGATTATAGATAGATTCTCTACTGTCATCTATGCTTTTTTCAAGCCCAGCTCTTAGTCTTATGACTGTTATTCTAAATTTTTCTTCAGACATATTGTTTATATCTGTCTTGAGCAATTCTCTGTCATTTCTTCCTGGGTTTTCTTTTGAGGAGAATTCTTCCATTTTATCATTTTGGCTAGGTTTCTGTCTTTTACATGCTTTAATAGCTTGTTATGTGTCTTGCACCTGTGAATGCTACTATATTAAAAAAGGGTCATACACTGTCTAGGGCCTGGCACTTGAAGAAGCGTTTTTGGAGTGTGTTGTATGCACTCTGTTGTTGCGTTTTGACTGCTCTATCCCACTGGTCAATCCTCTGCAAAACTCCTCCTTGTGTGTAGTGATGGAGTGTTTGGACCTTCCACCAGCTGTGCTTTGATTTGTTCATTGAAGTAACCCTCGATCCCACCAAACTGTCTCCTTCCACCTGTGATGATCCTTCTGCCAGTCCACAGATTGATTTCCTTGGTGTTCCAAATGATCTGACTTCGATACAGCTGTGTTGAAGGGACAAGGGAACTCCTGCTCCCCCTACTTCTCCACCATCTTAACTCCCCCTGTATTTAATTTTTTAATGGCTGCATAACATTCCATGATATATCATGTTATATCATGATATATCATGTTATATAAAAATTAATGATTGTTTCAGTAATTATTCTAATGTTATGTATTTACCTTTCCCATGAAACCTTTTCCCTATACCATGAAAAACTTGGCAATAAGTACCCCTGTCCATATACTCCTATATACTGGAAATTTCCAAGAAAGGCTCTGCTTAGTCAAAAAGTATATATCTTTGTAATTTTATTAGCTACAGGCAATTTGTTTCCCAAAACAACTCAACAACCCACTTTTTGTTCCCCCCATCCTCATTAGTATGTGTGGGATACTCAGTGTTAGCTGTTGTGTCCTATTCCCAGCCTCAACCCTGCCCCAAAAGACTTCACCCTGCCAGGTGTTGCATGAGTCACAGTCCACGAAATTTCACCACCCTGCAGATCCTATGCCTTGAATTCCACTTTATCATTTAACATATATTTATTGAGCTTCTACTACATGGCTGTCACTTTGTTGGGCACCTTGGAATACAGACGTAAACAAGAGAACTGAAAGCAACTACAAGTGAATGTTACCAAAAGCAACTTTGAAGTGCTGAGAAGAATTTTTAGGGAAAGGTCACCTAGTCTGGGGACACTTTCCTGAGGGAAGAAATAGTCAACATTTTTGGTCTTTTTTAAAACTCATTGTATTGGCTTCCTATGGCTGTTATAACACATTACCACAAATTTAGTGCCTTGAACACTTTGCTCCCTTTTGTGCCTGTATATTAGTTTCTTGATGTGACTCCAATAAATTACCACAAACTTGGTGCTTAAAAACAATAGGCAATCATTCTCTCACAGGCCAGAAATCTGAAATTGGGATAAAATCAAGGTGTCAGCAAGACTATGCTCCCTCCAAATACGCTAGGGGAGAAATTGGTCCTTGTATCTTTTAACTTCTGATGGCCACTGGCATTCCTTGGCTTGTGGCTGAATGCCTCCAATCTCTGCCTCTCTGCTCACATTACCTTCTCCAATTCTGTCTGTCTCAACTCTCCCTCTGTTTCTCTCTCATAAGAATACATTTGATTGCATTTAGGGACCACATGGAATAATTCAGACTAATCCCATCTATCTCATCTCAAAATCCTTAATCCCATCTGCAAAGCCATTATTTGTCATTTGAAGTACTATTCACAGGCTTTGTGGATTAGGTCATTGGTATGTCTCAGGGGAAGGAGAAGGGCGTTATTCAGCCAATCACACTCATTTATTTTATTTTTGTATTGAATTTATATACAGAGATTCCTATTTTAGATGAGAAAATTTTAGCATATACTTCATCCATGATTTTGGAAAAATAATATAGACAGCTACCAACAAAAAGATCAAGAGATCTTATCCAGTTAAGTGGGGTGGGGTGGAGATCTGAGGCATTTATTAGTTACCTTAAGTCATAGTTTCATTATTTTGAAACAACCAACTGCCTCCAGGGGACTGTATTGCTATATTTGAAATATAAGAGATACCATTTTCAAAGCACTATATACACAATAAATATTAAATACCATTATTGAATTTTCCCACAAAGTATCACAGAGTAAGAAGCAGTTCTATATCTGTATTCCAGCTCCATTCTGATTGCTAAATGGGAATTCCTGGTTAAATCCATTTTTCTTGTGTGTGTGAGAGAGAGAAAGAAAGAGAGAGTGTGTGCAGCTCAGAGCCTGTCTCAAGGTTTCATTCCATGACCCTGGGATCATGATCTAAGTCGAAATCAAGAATCAGAGATTCAACTGATTGAACCACCCAGGCACCCCTTTTAAACTTCTTTTTCTACCTTCTATGTTAACAAGAAAGAAAAATTCTCCCCAATTCTCAGATACTTAAAAAAAAAAAAAAACGTTTAGAATAATATGTGTGTGTGTGTGTGTGTGTGTGTGTGTGTGTGTGTGTGTATGCCCTTAAGTTGGCACAGATCCATCCAATCTCTTATAGTAACCAATCTTATATTGGCATTTATGTTTTTAACAAGAAATAATCCATCGTTTAGCCAGAACAGACATTGTTAGCCAATTACTGATGCATGCTGTTTAGCTCATTCTGGTTTTAGAGCCCTCTTGGATAGGAGACTCCAGAGTCACCAATTTGTCAGAGCTAGTACCTAAGGGGAAACCTCTTTATCATCCCTGGAGAAACTCACCCATCTTGACTTTACTCTGTGTCTGAAATGTGGTCATGAATTTACTCAGGTTAATGCCACAGGGAATTTATGGGTTATTTTATTTCATTTAAGTTTTAATTTTTAAGTGTATTTATTTTGAAAGAGAGAGAAAGCAAGCAGAGGAGGGGCAGAGAAGGGGAGAAATAGAATCCCAAGCAGGCTCCTCACTACTAATGCAGAGCCCAATGAGGGGCTTAATCTCACAAATTGGGAGATTCTGACCTGAGCTGAAAACAAGAGTCAGACACTTAATTAACTGAGCCACCGAGGCACCTCTATTAATTTATTATTTTAGAGAGAGAGAGAGAGAGCATGGGCAAAGGAGAGAGGCAGAGGGAGAGGGAGAGAGAGAGGAAGAGAGAGGGAGAGAGGGAGAGAGAGAATATTAAGCAGGCTCCACACTCAGGGTGGAGCCCATCGTGGCAATCAATCCCACCATTCTGGGATCATGACCTGAGCCAAAACCAAGAGTCAGACACTCAACTGACTGAGCCTCTCAGATGTCCCGAGAACTTATGTTTTTAAGCATACTTTCATTAGAAATAGAACTCTATGCGCTACTTCTTTCAGCAGGTTACTTTTCTTGATTAACCTTTAAGAAGAATAATAGCCAATGATCATGGGAAGGAAAAAGTCATGTTCTATATTCTCTATGGCATGCATGTTTTTTTCCATTCTTCTATGCTCTGGAACTTTCTCTTTTTTTTTTTTCTCCCCAAACAAAATAAATAATAATGATAATAATAATAATAATAATAATATTCACTGTTTTAAAATAATATGTATCATTTTACAATTCTCTGCACAACAGTTTGAGATGTTATAAGTTTAACAAAAAGTGAGATGTGTTTTGAAGTTCTTTCTAGTCATGAATTAATGATATTGTTTATCTCAACACCACAAGAAATCCAATAGATCTTGAGGTGAAAGACAAAGCTTTCCTATGGGAAGGCAGATGACTGACACCTCAGAAGAGTATAGGAAATTAAAAATTTCACAGGCAAAATTGGCAACTTGTTTTAAAGCTTCAATGTTAATTCCCTTGCAAGTGAGTCACAGGAAAATGACTGAAGGCTGAAAGTGACAAAGACTGAAATATCATATGTAAAACACAAACCAAAATCACTTTTGGTGACTCACCTGCCTAAACAGTACCAATGTATTTTAGACTAGTCCTCCCTCAAACTGTGGTTTATGTTTTTGTTGGAAGAGGTCATTGAGAGGATATGACCTGTGGTTCGGAGAAGGGCCATGGGAGGCTCCTCCCCCCACCGCTGCCCCTGGAAAGAACACTCTGTCCACCGTTTCTACAGCAGGAAGTGTTTAGGTGCAGCCTTGAGAGGGCAATGTATTGTGGAGACCATCTGGACCAGCTCTGTGACAACCCAGGTAAGGCCTTCATATAAACTTTTAAGATTCTGGCAGGTGGGTGAGGAAACCTATCATCCTGCAGCTGCTCTCACAAGCCTCATAAAAATTCAAGCATTTGTTACTTCCCTTGCTTATTAAACCAGCCATTTACACAGGAATCTGGAGTGGCCGACCTCTTCCACCTTGCCCTCTGTGGATGAGGACCAGTTACAAACAAAAGGCTTTGCAGTCAAACGGGTCTGAACTCAAATTCTGTCTTGGTATCCAATTAACTGGTAATCTGAAACAAGTCACTTTGTTTTTCTGAGGTCCTTTCTCCTCATTTATAAGAGGGAAAATGTGACATTGTCCAAATTAGTCCTTGCCCCAGAGCTTCCAGATAAAATACAAGACACCTAGTTAAATTTGAATTTTAGATGAACATCCGATACTTTTTTAATGCTTCGTAGTTACACTAAAAGATTATTTGGTGCTTATCTGAATCCAAGTGTATCTGGGAATCCTGTATTTTTATTTACTAAATCTGGCAACCCAATTTTTTCTTACTATTGTCTTTCTTAGCAACCTGCAGTTTTCTTTCACAGCAATTGCATTGCAGTGTTGATTATTTATTTAACATATCTCTGTTCCACTGGACTATAAAGCTCCAAAGGGCAGAATCTGGTTTATTTCTCTCCTACACACCTAGCAATAAGCACAGTGTCCAGCACAAGAGGTGATAAAAGCAATCTGGAAGAGTAGAATTAATGAATGCATAGATACTCACGTGGAGGGAGGTATGAGTTTGAGTTCCAAAGTTTATAAATTGCAATGTTACTTATTATAATTTATCTCTAAAATTAGTACTTGGACTATCTAATCCCCACAGACTATCTGAAGAGAAAATTCTTTGTTTACATGCTTTATAAAAAGCAACGGCTCGTTAGGACTTTCAGTGCAATAATTCCTAAGATTCTGAAATAGGGGCACCTGGGTGTCTCTGTGGGTTGAGCATCCGACTTCGGCTCAGATCACGATCTCACAGTTAGTGAGTTCAAGCCCCACATCAGGCTCACTGCTGCCAGCGCAAAGCCTGGATCCTCTGTTCCCCTCTCTGCCCCTTCCCCACTTGCACTCTCTCAAAAATAAATAAACATTTAAAAAATAAAAAATAAAATTCTGAAACAGTTAGACACAGCCATAATGATAGATACAGTTATTTGGCCAACTACCATATACTAGATATTTTAATGACATTACCTCTAGTCCGTGGATAGCCTTTCAATATACGTATGAGATCCATTTTGAGATGAGAAAATTCAAATTCAAATGTTTGTCCCAGATCACAGAGACAGGGAAGTGACTATAGTTTGTTTTAGTCAACCTCCATTTGACCTTGTAAAGCTCAAATGAACATTTCTCAGACCCCCTTCAAGCTAGGGTTCTAGATGTGAATCAGCTTCCACTGATTACATACACTTGTGCATGATTTGAGCAGGGGCAGTGAGACAGAGGCAAACTTCTTGTGGCTCTCGGCTTTGGTTGCTGGCAAGTAAAACCACGACAGTGTGAGATTTTGAGCCTCTGGGATGCTGGGAAGAGCTGCAGTGGCGGTGCTCAAAGAGGCTGCTGGCTTCCAGCACAGCGCTGCAAGACAGCATCAAAAGCAGAGCTCTCCTACGGGAGCAGCTCCTTATAGCTCTTGGAGTCGCTCCAGGGTACAGCCTACAACCCGTTTCTCTAGCCTCTCTAACAATTTTGTGAGCCCCTATGCCCGTACATTAAAGTCCCTCATGCTTTAGATACCCACAGTGGATTCTGTTTCCTGCCCCGAACCCTGGTGGATACAGCAAGCGGTCAACAGACTTCAAATTTTATTCCAAATTTGGTTCTAACTCTTGCTTTTTCCTCCATACTGTGCTGTATATAATTTTTTATTTTTCAAAGAAAATGTTTTTTTAAACGTTTATTTTTAAGAGACAATCTGTTCTTTCCTTCTATAAGTCGAGAGGAAAGTCTATTGTACAGATAGGTTCTCAAAAGGATTGCAATAAAAAGCCTGACTCCATTTTTGGATCTTCAATTGCTTGAAAGCTTGTAAAGCTCCCCCATTCCCTTCTCCTTCTGGCCCGTCTGGTGAAGCTCACGCTAAAGTCTCAGATGCTACCTTCCTCTGGTTCTGGCGGGAAGTTCAGATCTCTAGCAGGACTCCTTACCCTGGCCCTCCACTTCTAATTTTGCCATGAAAAGCCAAGCTGGTCTCCTTTCTTTGTTCTCTCAAGCCATTTTGAACCAGTCTGGGGTCCCACCCTGAACTCTCCAGAAAGTCCCATTATGTCAGAAATAAACTTTTTTTTTTTCCAACGTTTATTTATTTTTGGGACAGAGAGAGACAGAGCATGAACGGGGGAGGGGCAGAGAGAGAGGGAGACACAGAATCGGAAACAGGCTCCAGGCTCTGAGCCATCAGCCCAGAGCCCGACGCGGGGCTCGAACTCATGGACCGCGAGATCGTGACCTGGCTGAAGTCGGACGCTTAACCGACTGTGCCACCCAGGCGCCCCAGAAATAAACTTTTTCATACCATCTTGGTGTATACATGGCATTGTCATCTTGCCACCCAAACCAAATTTTGGATGGGGGCCCACCCTGCTTTCACAAAGCAACCACAGCAATGGTTCTTAGTATTTATCTTAGTTCAGATTGCCATGACAAATTATCACACACTGGATCGCTAAAATGACAGAAATTTATGTCTCACCGTTGTAGAGGCTGAGAAGTCCAAGATCAAGGCGATGGCTAATCTTGTGTCTGGTGAAGGCCGTCTTCTCGGTTTACAGTGGACATCTGCTTGCTGCGTTTTCACATGAGAGAGAGGTAAGAGAATATCTCTCTTGTGTCCCTCTTATAAGAGCACTAATTCTATTCCTGATGACCCCCCCTTCATGACCTAATCACTTCCCAGAGGTCCCACCTCCAAATACCTTCACATTAGAGATTAGGACTTTGACACATGGATTTTGGAAGAGAGGGTGCCCAAACATTCAGTCTAGAGCAGTGTTATAACACGCCTAAAGATATATAGATATAGATATAGATAGATAGATAGATAGAGATAGAGATACATTTTTTTTTTTTTTGAGAGAGAGAGAGAGAAGAGAATGCACAGGGGAGGGATAGAGGGAGAGGGAGAGAGAGATAGAGAGAGAGAGAGAGAGAGAGAGACAGAGAGAGAGAGAGAGAGAGACAGAGAGACAGAGAGAGAATCCCAAGCAAGCTCCACACCCAGGGCAAAGCCTGACGTAGGGCTCAATCTCAAGATGGTGAGGTCATGACCTGCCCCAAAATCAAGAGTTGGACACTTAACCGATTGAGCCACCCAGGCACCCCACTCCTAGAAAAATACTTTAAGTAGCAAAAAAGGAAGAAAGAAACAAAAATAAAAAAGAAAGAATATGTGATCTAACTAGAGGTAAAATTGATTCACAGAGAAAATTTCTTGAGGACAAAACAGCTTTATTTGAAGAACCCTTACCTACAAACATATTATGTGAAATATCTATGCATTGAAAACTTTTATGTGAAATCCAATTGTGATTCATTCTAATAGCTTCAATAGAAATGCAATTATTTCCAAC